TACTCTCTCTCTCTCTCTCTCTCTCTCTCTCTCTCACACACACACACACAATTTCCAGTGGTAACACAAACCCTGAAAAACTCATTACAGAAAGAATCGCAAAAAAAAAAAAGTAAGAGAAATAAGAAGACCTGGTAAAGCAAACGTCGAAGCTATCACCAATGAGCATTTGGCGAGACGTTTCAGCTTGAGATTCCCCCTTCTGAGTAAGCACGGAGATATCAGAGCTCCCTTGAATTCGACCTTCTTCATTCCATGTACTTTGCCCATGCCTTACCAGAACAACCCTTTTCGAAGCTTGGATGGACGGGAATTGCCGAGGGTCACATAAATTTGTATCAAGACGTCGCTCTAAGAGTGAAGTATCAGAAGAAGGGGGGTCCTTGGTGCTCTGAGAGCTCAAAACTGAGCGAATTTTAGGGCTAGCGTTTTGGCCATGGAAGCCGTGAAAGGTTGAAAATCTAGGGTTTTGGTAGACGAAGGGAAGGGGAGATGCAGTAGCTAAGTTAGAGAGAGGCATCGGTAAATTATGGAGGAGAATTGGAAAATTGGACAATTGAGCTCTTACTGTGAAATATAAAGAGAGATTGATGAGAGGGAGTGTGTCTTACATATATGGAGCTAGAGAACTTAGAGAGAGAATGGAATGGGTGGTTAATACAGAGACAAGCATCTGTAAATTATGGTGGAGAGAGAGGAAAATGTGAAATACGAAGAGAAAGTAATGTCTTGCATATGTACATTGGAGAGAGAAGTTAGAGAGATAATGAAAATGGGTGGTGTGGGATATGAATTGAGAGATAAAGGAATGTCTCGTATGTGATACAGGCGCACGAGAGATAATTTAGAGGGGTCACTGTATCACAAATCGACCGAGTTAGTTCGGAGTGCCCGATTCCAAGTTGTCCCGACTCGTGCGTTGAGCCTTAAACTGGGAGATATTAAAAAAGGAAAATTGTCTCATGCGGGCTGGACCGCATGACTACATATGCGGTCTAAAAAGTGTAAAGCATCCATCTTTATCTTACCGGAAGCCAAGAGTCCGAATGTCTTCTTACTAGAATTATTACTTCTAGTTTTTAAATTTTACTTATTTTGACCGCTCTCCATGGAGATTACATGTTTTTAAAAAGTAAGTCCAAAAATCCATCTCAAAAATAGTTTTATTATTAGGCCCTCATTTCTACATATGCAGGCTTGGCCGTATGAAAACTGGGTCCATTAAGAAATTCAAAGAAATTATAAAAAAATTAAAAGTAATAAATCTATTTGATATGTTTTTATATTTTCAATCATTTATCCAAATATCGGAAAGTATGTAGATTAATACAACTATAAATCAAGTGCGAGAAATAAAACAAACATAAAAAGCACACCACAACAACACACGATTTACATGGTTCACTCCATAGGGCTTCATCTACGGCCTCGGCAACTAGAAATCCGCTATCACAATGAAGATTACAGTTTTGGTTTACAAGAGATAATACATATCTCTAAATATTAGTAAACGACCATCACCGATCTTTCCTTCTAAACCCGCTCTCCAAATCGAGCAACACCGTCGATCAATATCCTATTTCCCACCGCAATACCGCTACTGAAAAGATAACTTCGAGAGAAACATAGAGATTTTCTCTCTCTAAAAATAGAAGTCAACCAACCCAAAACTCATGAGAATACGCCCCACTCTTAGAAGTTATGTATCTCTCTCTTGGAGACCCACATCGCCCGCGTACTGGCTTTGAACAATAAGAGAGCTATATATATATACACACTAGTGATGTGCACGTGCACGCAAATTAAATGTTAATTATACAAATAAGTACAAAAAAAAGACATTTGATTATAGAGAAAAAAAAAGTGATATTTTAATAGATCCATCTGCACATAATATGAAGAAATAATGAGACCTAATTTGTAGACTTTTTTTTATAGAAACAATTGTGAAATAGTTATTGAATATACAAAAATATGAAGATATCAGTATTTCTTTTAATTTAAGGCATTCTATTGTTGTATAATTGAGATTTTTGAGTCTGAACTAAAGTCAAAATACTTCCTTATTTATCCAATTGTTTCGCTTTCTTTTTTTTAATAGCATTCACTGTATCATTTGTACTTGTGTTAGTAAATCTATTATTCACTTATAAGTGAGGCAAAAAAAGAAAAAAACTAAGATATTAGGGAATGGTATCTAAAAGCATTTCAACCCAGATTAATAGAATTATTTCATAAAAAATATAATAAATTTTTGAAAAAAGAAATAGAAACAAAAAGATTTTTTATCTGATTACAAAAAATTTGTGCCCAATATAATACTCAAATTCCTAAGTTTCATATTCACTCAATTGAAGAGAAAACATATGTAAGTACAGATGGAACTACTACTTCTAGTACACATCCATCGGAGAAAAGTATTATCCTAAAAGGTGTAAAAACTCCAAATATAAAAAGAGAACCACCACATTCCTTATATAAAATTATTGCAACACCTTATAAGGTTGTACCCAAGGATATGGGAAAAAAGCATGAATTAATACCTCATATTGTTGAACAAAATAATTATACCAACCTATATATGCAATTTTTAAGAAAACAAGCTGAACGGATAGAAAGATTAGTCACTCTCCAACCTAAGAGAGTAACCCCTCCTATTTCGAAAGCTGTTTTATAATAAACACAAAAAAAGTAAAAAAGAAAAAAGAAGAGAAACAATGAAGGATTGTCTTTTTCTTTTTTTGCATTTACCAATATAAGTATTAACTTTGTACCTTTCTTTTTTGTACTAAAATATTATTGACTTATATAATTATCATCTTTTGTTGATTGTTTTAACCTATATAAGTATTATTTAATTGACCTATATAATTCACATTTTTTCTTGATAATTTTTCTTTTTTTTTAAGCATTTGATTTCTATTATTTTCTGACCTACTCGAAATTCTGTTTAATTATCTCAATATTATATTATATAACTATAAGTAAATATTAATGTAAAAAATTACGAAGAATAACAATGCTAAAACATGTCTCATACAGTATAAAACATGATTATTATTCTATTTATAACTTGCATTTATGATCAATAATTATTTGTATTTATTTATAAAGAGAGTACAATGAGAAAGCATATTAAGAGAAAAATCCAAAATCTAAGAAATAGAAAGCATCTAATATTGAGTAAGGCTTCATAAAAATAGTGAGAAAATTCTAAAAAATATGGAAGCATTTAAAATAGAAACTTAGATATAGGGTACATGAAAATAGGGAGAAACATATCATAGAGGGAGAGAGACAGCGCATGTGAAGAAATAAAATAAAAAATCTGAAAAATAAAAAGCATTTAATAAGGTAGAAAGATGTAAATTAATTTACTTATATTAATAAATAAGTATTAAAAGAAAAACTGAGAAAGAATTATCCTTTTTTTTAATATATATATAAACAAGAAAATTATTCTAGATAGCAAATTGAATACAAAACAAATTTTTAATTAAAAATTACATAGAAGCTATTGGTTTCAATGTGGATATCGTCCATATATAATGGACATAAACAAATAATACTAATTACGGTTCTTCATAAAATCAATTTATAGATAATAGCTAAAGAAATGAAATGGGGATTCACCATTTTTAGTAACATATATTGGTAATCTACCATATTTCTCGGCCATGTATTTGAGAGATCCCCAAGGAACCATGCAAAGCCACATAATTTGTGAAAAATCCAGAAGGCAATCTCCAAGTTTCTAATGCACAATTATTAAGTAATCCCCAAAATGCATCGAGTCAAGGAACCAGCACCATCACAACTAAAAGCCAAAGATTAATCCAGATAAGAAAATAATGTAAAGCAAAACATAGAAACCTGCAAAATAACATATTATTTTTTAAAAAATGATCCAAAATGAATAATATATTTGTTAGGAGAGAATACCATCCAAGCTAAATTCAACATGTATGTATTTGTGTTGATTATTTTACCTTCTAATGCATCAATTTTCTATAGAGAGAGAATGAGGATATGAGAGAGAAGGGGTGTAGAGAGAGGAAGGAACGTTGGAGTGGGAGAAACGTGGAAGGGGCAGAGAAACTGGGGAAGAGAGAGTAAATCATGAATAGAGAGCGAGATTAATAGACTTACTTAAATTGGGGAGAGAGAAATATTAGGTGGCTTCTTAATAAAATAGGAGTTATCAAAGGAAGTTACTTAAAATTTAAATATATTTTCAGAAATAATAAACATAAAATTGTCCAAAAAAAGAAAGGAAAAAAAATAACATAAATTGAGGAGAAAAATAAGATGTGGGAGCTTTACTCTAAAAAAAGAGTTACATATGTTTATGTCTATCCCATATATATATATATATATATATATATATAGGAGAGAGTACTTCGTCCTACCTATATATATAGTA